ATTTAACTTGATCTACCCGTAACGTTCACCGCCAGTGTGAATCGGGTTTTAGCGTGTGGCAAACAACACACGTAAATACCTTCGGGTTTAACAACATATCGGAGCGGAAGCTGTAAGTAGAGATCTGTATCCGCGGAACGTTCGCAGATGTATATCGACGCGAACAAATCGAATAACGATGAAATAGTCTTTGCAAAGTCCATTTGTATCGGTTGACGGATCAACGATGGGACAGTCAGCAATTTCCGGAAGGGACGGTCTTTCTTCGGAACGAAAAGGAAGTTGATGGTATTGACTCGATTCAGGGAACCAGTTTTTTCAAATCTGGATCGGGTAACTGAGAATACTGTGACTTATGTTGCTGTTTACTCGAGATGTAGAGAGAACTGTGGGGAAGAAATTTTTATATAGAATGCATTTATCTTCTTCTTTTTATTCTTTTTGTTGTTACTATTATTATTATTACTATTATTACTATCATTATTATTACTATTACTATCACTACTACTATTGTTATTATTCTTATTATTCTTATTGTTGTTGTTGTTGTTATTATTATTAACTACTATTTTAGTATTATTTCTATTACTATTACTACTGTTGTTGTTATCGTCGTCGTCGTCGTCGTTGTTGTTATGAACTACAGCTACTGCTACTGCTACTAGTAGTAACAATGGTTTGTTGTTGTTGTTATTATTATTAACTACTTATTACTATAATTATCATTATTATTATGCATTCTCAGAACGGTCCATGACAAAGTCTGATGAATATTGAATTTTCTAAGTACACGATACTTACCATACTTCATAGAAGTGGCAGACGCTTATAACTTCCAACTACTGTTAATTTAAAACTAATTTAGTACTATCCGACTCCCAATATCAGTAGAAATACCAAATGTTAATGATATTTATATGAAAAGGTGTCGATTCACATAAAATTTCGTAATCCAATCATCACGTTAGTTGCCTCATTTTTTCCATGAAATAACGGTGACAGTTTCTACAAGTAAAAAATAAGAACAATAAGCAGATACAACTAACAAAGAAAGCAATTGGGACTGATTGTTCCGGAATTGCTCATTTCTGAAAATTTACTACGCACGTAAAGTCTGTGAGTAGAACAATGTAATTCGCCGCAGTGTCTGTGCGATAAAAAAATTTAAAAAAAAACTGCGTTCATGAAATGAGAATATCGACAGAAATTTCGCCATGATCATTCAATTATGGAACGTGCGATAGCTTATTCAGGAAAAATAAATTTTTCATCAAGTTTTAATTTTCCACCTACACAGTTATGGTAAACGTTGAAACAAAAGTTTCTGACACGTTACACGTACCGGAAAAAGTATTTAGAAATTTTTTAATATTTTTTCGTTAAAAATGTTCGTTGACATTTTCGATGGAAGGTATCAACAGCACTGAGGAAATAAACGTAATAATATACTCGAACGTCGAAAGAAACAAAAATTTCATACAGAAATGTAGAATTATTAACCCCTTGCCTTATAATATTGTGTCAAACTCCTCGTGAAGATCCCAAACACAATCTAACAATACAAATGTTACTCGATGCCTTTCAATTCTAATTATATATTATTCCTATGTTATTAATTATTATACCTTAGAGCAAACGTAGGCACTGAATATACCTATAATTTTTCTCTTTTTCCAATTAAATTAAATTAAATTAAATTAAAACATTAAAACATTGTAACATTGTAACATTGTAACATTGTAACATTGTAACATTATAACATTATAACATTGAAATATTGAAACATTAAAAAATGGATTTCTCCGATGATACAGTAATTTTTCTTTACAGTTTTGATGGCATTTTTTAATAAAGGCAATATAAAAGAATTTGGAGTTTTTGAAAGTATTCTTAGGAAGATTTATAGGTACTCAGAATAGAAAGGAACAATTCTATTAGAATTTTTTCTGTAATTTCTGTACCGTGTCTCGCGAGAGAAATTTCTTTCTTATTTAAAAGAAATTAATCCGCTAAGTGTTTATATTGCATTCCATGAAACGGTATGCCATTTTCAAAGCATTCCCCATTTAAAAGGAATTTTTAATTCAGTCCAACGTGGAGTATGTATACTAGGAATATAGTATATACTGTACAGAGTATTTTTTATTATCAATTTCTAGCGCGATTTCCATTGTCTGCGAAAACAACGGAAATATTCTAGCTTTCGTTACTTTATTTCTTTTTTCTTACTTTTAATGCCACGTTTAACCATAATTTTACAAGCACGTAGTACAATTCACACGAATATATGTGTATATGTTCGTACTTGTAAAATAATTGTTAAACATAACATTAAAAGTAATAAAAAAAATGTACTCTAACACTGAGACTAGTAACAAATGGCAATAATAACAGACAAAATCTCACGAATAAAAACGACGAGCAAATAATAATTTATTGTATATATAATATTCTTGAAAATGAGAAAAAATATAAAAATATTGTTATTGAATTAATTGATCTGTTATTTAAATTGATTTATACTATTATCTAATGTAATTAGAATTTTTTCTTAAATTATAAATTTATGTTATATACATAATAAATGATTACTTGTTTTTATTTATGAAGTTTTATTTATTATTATTGGCCCTGTCACCTATATTAACATTTTTAATGTTAGAAAATAATACAATTGTGTAATATACATAGATCTGCAGTTTAACAAGCTTTATGATTGCATATATCACCATTAAATAAATAATTGATTGTAAAATAAATTTATTAATTATCCATAAACATATTCTCGTGCATAATAATTGTCGTATTAAATGTTTAATACGCGATGGAAGTGGATTTCATCAGGACGAGTGAAATGTTCCCTCTGTTGTTGACTTGAAAAATTTAACGTAATTTCCTTAACTCTTAATTGATGTAGCTGCTGATAAACTTTCGAATTCCATCTTGTTAAAGTAAATTGGCGAAATGTAATTTTTATGAACACCAGCAGTTACGTTCTGGTTAATGAAATTCAAACGCAATGAATGTAATATAAACCTTGACAAATGAAGTACTAGTCGGTTGTTAATAATTATTCAAATTAATGTGAGACGTTAATTGGATCATGCTGCAGTGGCATATGTAAACGTTCAATAAATACGAATGAAGGCAACAAAGGTTGATATTGGTTCCCAGAGAAGGAATTCAAATAGCAAAAGCAATCAGTAACTGTTGCAATCATACGAAAGTAAATTGAAACCTCTTTCTTGTCGTGTTTTACAGACACCAAACGTAATGCTTCTCAAGCTTCTTTTCAAATGGAATATTTTCCAATAAAAACATTTATTGGAGAGAACCTGAAAGATCATTCTATCGAATAACAAAAGTGTAATTGAAAAAAATAATTCAAACATAACAATGATACAATGACTTTGCAAAATTCAATTAAAATTTAAATATGATTATAAGAAATGTACTTATTTAGAAGAAAGAATATTTCTTACTTTCAATTTTATTCGTCTTCGTTCTAACATTTATTCCTTATTAACTTAATTACGAATCAAATTCATCACGAGTGTCACTTATCATTGTACATTCCCTTTTTTCCAATAAATTATTACCGGCAAATTTGTATCTATGACAGGTGAAAAATAAATCATAGGGCAAGAGGTTAATGTTAACCCTTTGCGAACGAATATCGACATTTCGACAAGACAAAACATTCATATTTGGAAGACTAAGACGCAAACAAATGATTTAATCACTCAAACAGCAAGAGATTAGCATGTAGTTTCTATTTTTGCTATTATTTAACACTAAAACTTCCAGGCGGGTCAAAACGAGCCATTTCTGATTCAGTCCTCTTGCAATTTTTAAAAAGATAGATGTTTCTCTATGAAATTATTAATGAAATTGATTTAGTAACACGCAAACTGAATTGTGGATCAATTAAAGTCTCAATAGATGCACTCTTCCAGTTTCTCTACAGAAATTTCAAAAATTCAGCGTAACTGCTTGGTAGTGTTAGTGTTAACCGTTCGAGTCCCACGGGCTTTTGCAAAAACTCGGTCGAAAAATGCCAAGCGGCGCGATTGCGCTTTCCTTTCGATTCAGACACTGAATGACGCTTTTCTATTTTGACAAAACCAAATTTTAAATAGCGCGATCGTTACATTTTTCCAGTTTTAGGCGAGTAATAAAAATAAAACTGAATAATTAGGATAGGAAATAAATAAGCTTCATCTGATACCGTAACGGTATAGATGAAGCGATAGACCGCCACTTTCAGGCAATCTCACGGAGAACCGCCATCTTGTCGCTTGGGGCTCAAACGGTTAAGCAATTAACCCTTCGCAGACGAATGTCGACATTTCGTCGAGATCAAACTGTCATGTTTGGAACACTGAGTTGTAAATAAATGATTTAATAACTCAAACAGCAAGGGATCAGTGCATAGTTTCCTTTCTCTCTATTATTTAACACGTTGAACGCCGCACGATATCATAGAGCAAAATACACAAAATGGAAAAGATACAGTATTAAATCATTTGATTGAATCGCGTTATTATTATTGCGCGCTCATCTTGCTCAATATCGCCGCATTAGGCAGCATTGTTTGTAATATACAAATGTTTTCAAATAATCCAACGTAGATCCATGACATCCGACACGTTAAGCATTCGATATATAATCTGGCTTCATCTGCTGAAGGCTTTGTATACTTCAAAGAATCTCCGTCCGCAAAGGGTTAATACATAATTTAGCTTCATCCGTTGGTTTCGTACATTTCAAGGACTCTTCACTCGCGAAGGGTTAAAAAAACATCAACATCATCCCGCACTATTCGCAAAGCTTCCCTCGTTAGTCCAGCACGCCATCTTATCGGTTGTTTCCAGTAAATCGCGACTAGCCGATAATCCATTCCCATATTTCCCTCGGCAGCCGATGTTTACGCGGCAACTGTCGGGCCTTCCGATTGAACGGCCGTTTAATGGTTCTTGTTCTGCACAATGCATGCACAGGGTATCACCGAAGGAAACGGAGGAGCCCGCGCAGAGGAGAAGAGAATCGATTGAGCGGAATAAGGCGGCCTCGCCGCCGACGTCGCCCACGGATCCGCTCGAGCCATGGAGCACACGTGACATTAAGGACATGAACACGATATTGGCTTGGGAAGAAAATGTGCCGGACAGTCCTTAACGAAACTTTATGATATTATGCGCCCAGCGCTCCTGCCTTCGCCTTTCTAGCCATTCGCTCGGCAAAAACGGAGTTGTCCTTGCGGAACCTGCCAACTCAAACGTGTCCAGGGATTCGGGTGCTAGGGATGTTTCCACCGGACAACGACGCAGCTTTTCTTCGAGGATTCGACGACCTACAGCGAGGATAGTTTCTCTGGGAAGTAGAATATATTTGAAGGTTTGAGTAATTAGTGGGTTATTCTACGAGTAATCATCGTCTTTCGCTGCAGACTTCGGCGCGACGTTTTATGAGTCGTATCGGTTGGCTAGTTGACCTTTCAGGGATTCAACTGGGTATAAGAAGAGCTAGATGGTAAAAATAATGTTTATTAACCCTTAACGGTCGAAGGGGCTCAATATGGGGATACGAAAAGGGTTTGGTCTTCGTTTCATTTATTTATCATCGCTGTAGTTTTCTTTATCGAATATTGCAACTTGTTACATCATTGGTTTGTTGATCATGCACTGGCAAAAAATATTTACCGTAATATTACGTCTTATGAGCGAGTGTTACAAAGAAAGCTCTCGGTCGTTAACGGTTAAATAATCAAAGGAGGTATACATATACGAAGATCCAACCGAAGGATTGTTGCGTTACTCTTGAACTTGTGCAACAAGCTGCGCATTTTTTCGCGCGAATGTCCATTATTTCTATGACGCGAAATTTGTCATGCCACACAACTGTTGTTTCTATAATACTTTGATCATTCACGCTCTGATTGATTATTACTTACTCGTAGAATAGATTTTATTGTTTTACTGTTTACTTCGCAGAGCTAGTAAACAATCAAATTATACACTTCTATATTTTCTTATGTAAATCATAGATGTGTGTACTGAGATCTCGACTCAAATACATTTTAATGACTTTAATATTAAATCAATTTATTTAATAATCGTTCCCGAAGTTATTATACATTATTAGAGTATTTAGTATCGCATTAATACTATTCCTACCGACACCCTACGTATACCTATTCCTACCGCGATCAGTCAAATGATTGGTCTTTAGCACAACTTATATTTTTTAATGTATCCAAATATAGTTCGTTTCATTTAGAAGTATATAATTTACATTTTATTCGTTTTCACCGCATTTTTTACAAATAGGTTTGTCGATTGTACATTTCCCATACACGTACTTTTTACATTTTAGACAGATGTTGTTAGTCTTATTGTTTGTGCAATATCTCATTTGGTATGGTTTCCGGTCGGGTGAACCTTTACTTGTATTTGTGACGGGTGTTGCTTGATTTTCTTTGCCTAACTCTAGTTCTTTTTGATATTCAATGGCAAGTTCTTCTGTCAACTGAAATAAAAATTCTTGCCTCGAAATTTCTTCTCCCGTGGATTCTTTATATAAAATCCATGCATTTATCCCGGCTAAATCTAGGATATTGAAAAATACCTGTAAATGCCATCTCCGACATTTAGATTTTACCGATTTTATAGGTTTTACCGATAGGCGAGCGAGATCTGTAAACACTTGGAAGTACCGTAATGCAGTCCCCGAAAGGCACTTTTTGGCTAAAATCATGCCACAATTGCCATAATTGAGTCTTTGAGAGAATACTATTATAAAAAGATATAAATCATTCTATCAGTCAAATGACCGGTCGTGGTAGGTAAGACAGACTACAAATTTTTCTCAGAAAATAAACAATAAAAAAAGGAGTGAATATTGAAAAATGTTTTATACATATATTTTAGGAAAAGTCGTGAAGTATAAAGACGATTCAATTACGTTGTCTATAGGAAATTCTGATCGAAATTTTAAAAACAGTCATTTGACTGCTCGCGGTAGGAATAATGTTAAGTAGCTAATTACAGTATTACAATAATTATAAAAAAAAGAATTCGAAGGACTATGATCTATTAACTTCAGTGTTAAACCGATCAAGCTAATAGTTTCTAAGTAAAATGTGGAATAAAATGAAGAAACCAGTATCCAGATTGAAGAGAGAAGCGTTTTATTGTTTTGCCAAAATATTTCAAGGCAAATAGTCAACTATTTATGGCACTTATCCTAATCTGCTATCCGTGGGCCATAAAGAAAACCTTCCCCTTCATAAAACAGGCTATGAAGTGCCTTCTGGTGATGTCAGGCTGTCGACGCTCAAAGCGGTCAAGGTACTAGTAGCCTCTGCAACGGGAAAATTCTTTTCTATTTGTTTCAAACTTAACTTTGGAATATTCTCATTGGTTACGTTATTATTATTATTGTAATTACTGTTAGTATTGATATTATTATTCAAATATTTTAGAAGGAAACTCTACATTAATGAGATTAGAGATTTATTTCTATTTCCAGTGAATACATCTAAATAAACATTGTTTTAACAATGTATCATCAAAGACTGATCTTCGTACATTGATTTAACACTGGAGCTAGCTTGCCTGTCGAAATTATGGATTTCAGTTTTATCATTCTGCAATTATTGACATTTTGGAAGTATTCAGTATCCGAGATGATTTTTATAAGACAATTATTTTATTTACAATCTTCGTAAGAATTACATATCAACCCTAATAAATGGTAGTTTTAGTTTAGTTCGGTACAATAACGTGTCAAACTCGTGAAAATTTGAAACAGAGTATAACGAGCGTAAATATTACTGAATTCTTTTGAACTCAAATTAAACATTGTTGTTCGGTCGTCAATTATTGTAGTTTAGAGCAAACGTGCATAGAAAAGGCTCAGAATGTTTCTCCTTTTTCTCAATAAATTATTAACGTTGAAGAAGTTATGTCGATCAGAGCTGAGAAACACATCATAGAGGAAGCGGTTAAATTTTTTATAATCCTTGTTTCAACAATTAGTGGTCCATGTTGGCAGCAGAGGGTGAACAGGCATGGGAGGAGAATGAAATCCTGCCGAGAACCAGCATTAACACGAAATGCGTTTCAACATGTTGAAGAAACGCCATCAATTAAGTAGTCATAAACGCTTAACGTTCGCGCGCGCAAAGGAGGTAATCGCAATAGCATGCAACAGCAATTAGTCCTCTTATCGGAGCAATTTCATTAATAAACTACGATACTGCCCTATTTTTCATGTGTTTAATACGACACAGTTTACAAATGCGAGTAATTCTATACAACGTGCAACAGGAATAATATAGAATAAATATAGCCTAATACTTTCGAACCCGCAATTTCCAAAATATAAGTGAATGAAATTCAAAATCTAAGCAAAATCCAAAATCCAACATCTGCATAAACAAAATCGAAAATCTAACTGAACGAAATCTAAAATCCAATTTCTCCAAAAACGAAAAATGTCCGTGAATCTAGTTAACACTAGAATTATCAGATAGGTCAAAATGGCCCATTTCGAACAGGATTAAGAACTACTGAGATTAGTAAAACTTGACGTTTGATAATCTCCCGAACCAGTCCTACCGGCGCCAAACGAAAGATTCCTGATTACGCGTGCGGACGGTATAGTATTAACACTATTCCTATCGCGAGCAATCAAATGACTGTTTTTAAAGTTTCGATCAGAATTTCCTATAGACAACGTAATTGAATAGCCTTTATACTTCACGACTTTTCCTAAAATATATATATATATAAAACATTTTTCAATATTCACTCCTTTTTCTTGTTTGTTTTCTGAAGAAAATTTGTAGTCTATCTTACCTACCACGACTGGTCATTCGACCGGTAGAACGATTTATATCTTTTTGTAATAGTATTCTTTCAAAGACTCAATTCCGATACTGTAAAGTCATTACAAACGAAAGGTAATGCAGTTGTGGTATGATTTTAGCCAAAAAGTGCCTTTCAGGGACTGCTTTACGGTACTTCCAAGTGTTTACAGTTCTCGCTCGCCTATCGGCCTCGGTAAAATCGGTAAAATCTAAATGTCGGAGATGGCCTTTACAGGTATTTTTCTATATCCTAAATTTAGCCGGGATAAATGCATGGATTTTATGTAAAGAATCCACGGGAGAAGAAATTTCGAGGCAAGAATTTTTATTTCAATTGGCAGAAGAACTTGCCATTGAATATCAAAAAGAACTAGAGTTCAGCAAAGAAAATCAAGCAACTTCCGTCACAAATACAAGTACAGGTTCACCCGAATGGAAACCATGCCAAATAAGATATTGCACAAACAATAAAACTAACAAAATCTGTCTAGAATGTAAAAAGTATGTGTGTGGGAAATGTACAATCGACAAACCTATTTGTAAAAAATGCGGTGAAAACGAATAAAACTGTCAAAGTAGCTATTATCTTCATTCTATATTGAAAAAATATAAGTTATGCTACAAAATGCTACGAAATCTCGTTTTTATATAAAGACACTTAGCTACGCAACTTCGCTAATTACCACAGCATTGAAAAAAATATAAAATTTGATTCGAATTGATTATCTATTTAAAATATATTACATAACAATATATCTGAGTTTTTCTATGTGTAGCGATATAAGTTGACCTCACTGAAAATTGCCATCCGCACAATTCAGTTTTCTGAAAATTAGCCAGTACGCAATGTGTTAAGCATTCTTGAATCCTAACGAATCTTCTTCCTCGTATCTCGCCTCGCCCCTTTTCTTTCCTCCCGAAATAAAAATTGAAAGCAAGAACGATCGCGTGAAATATTAAATTTCGGTTATTCATTCTTTCCAAAGTGTTCTTTCGTACGTAGTTCCCGTAGTTTTCATTTCGACGCAACCGCGAGAGCGGAGAAAGAGAACAGACGAGGAGATACGCTCAGCGAGGCTCACCACCTCGGAAACTTCCAGCCTCCCGCGTGTATTGAAACAGTAATGATATGGGAAGGAACCAGTGGGATAACGAAATGAAAACACGTGCTGAACATCCAGGAATCGTCCAACTTGCCGGAGTTGTCGGCCTCGTTTACGCGTTATAGCGTTCCCGCCAAGGGAACGATACGCCGGAAAGAAACTTCCTGCTCTGGCAGGAATAAAAATTAAACGGAGGATAATTGCCCGCCTAAATGCCTCGTAAATACACTAATTTTCCACCGGAAAAACCTCGCGGCGCACGGTTTTTACCAAATTACTCGCAACGTCGTTCCGAGGGACCGCTATTGCTTGCCAACCTGTTTATGCGTTCCTCCGCGACGTATTCGTTATTGTTTACTCCATATTTCGCGTATAATTGCTACAATTTCAGTGCATTTATGATTTATTTCTAATGAACTTTTTGTGGGATTGACACTGAAGATTAATGAATCGACCAATCTTTGAAATTTATTGAAAATTCTGTATTACACTAATTTTCCGCTGGAAAAACCTCGTGGCGCGCGGTTTTTATGAAATCACATTGTTCCGAGGGATGATTATTGCTTGCTAACCTGTTTATACGTTCCTCCGCGACATATTTGTCATTATTTACTCCATATTTTGTGTACAATTTCTGGAATTTCAGTGCATTTATGATTCTCTTCTAACGAACTTTGTGTGATTAACAGACCGCGGATTTTTCTGCGTTAATGGGAAATTTGAAAATGCAAAATTACACAGAATTTACGAACAACGAAGAAATCTATAAGACATCGAATGTGTAGTGGTCTCTATAATATTTGTTGACACATTATATACGGGAAACGTAAAAGTACCATTTTCATGTACCGTAGAATTAAAGTACTAAATAAATACTTGTATAACTTCATTAACATTTTTTACAAAAGTAGATAGTTGAAGACTTTGAAAGTATTTCTATTTGCAATGGAAACTCTCGGAAATATGTTGAATAATAAATGAATGAATTGAATGTAATTGACATCAGTTGAAATGAACAAAATGGCCCGCACGCAATGTGTTAACAATAATCATTTTCCACATTTTTCGAACGATATTCTTGAAATTTTTAATTTCTACGAAGATCCGCTGTCTAGTGATTAACATCGTAAATTACTGAATTGACCGATCTCCGAATTTGATTGAACATTCCGCATTTTTCATTGTTTTTGTTTTTTTGTAAACCGCTCGCCTCTTTCATCGAATTTCGACGGTTTGCCGGAACGATATTTATTTGTTCATGCGTGGGTTATTTTATATTTTCCACGAGCACAGTGCACGGTAACAGGATCACCAGAAATATTTGATTCTCACGAAAGAAATGTTGTTCTTTTTTAAGTCGAACAATTGCAATTTTTCAGCTATCCCCTCGTTTTTATTTCGAACGACAAAAGATCGTTCACCGAATATATTATTTGCGAAGCTTAAAGTAGATTTCGCTGCTGAGTTTTGATGTGCCGTGTCCGTCAATTGTAAAAACGTTATTTTGAGGGAAACGCGTCTGAAGTTCTGCCTGTAACTTCATTTTCAGATTCATTTCTCTGTTGTTTTAACAACGATGAACGTTTGCGGGTGTTCAGTGACTAGAGAGAATAATTTGCTGGAGTATGTAATAAAAGGTACTTCTTCGTTCATTCTTTTTCGGAATGAAAAGTTTATTTACTGACTGTGAATTTATCTTTCTTTATTAACCGGCGAACGAGTCTAAACGTCGACTTAAAATTTACAGTGATGCATGGTTCTTTTATTTCTGAATTATTTATTATTTATTTACTATAACCTATTATTAATCTATTACTAATCTACTGATAATCTATTATTTACTTGCTATTATCTATTATTTCTCTACTATTTACTTATTACTGATTTTTCATTATCTATTATTATTTCTCATCTATTTACTATTATTTACTATTTATCAATTATTAATCTATTAATAACTAATTATTTATCTACTATTTATTTACTATTATCCATTACTTCTCCACTACTTACTCATTACTTATTTATCATAATCTATTATTATTTCTCATCTATCTACTATTAACAACTACTTATTTATTACATACCTATCACTCATTTATTATCTCTACAAGTACACACCTAACATTCCTTCCTCCCACTTCAATTTCTCGTTACAGCATCTAACAGTTCCATTGTCCCTGCATTCGACAAATATAAACTGTTCTTTGCAGTTACCATTCTAAACGAACAAGCCATCGATGCTACCGTTCCATCAACCCACATTTATACTCGCTAATCTATACTCCTATCGCGAGTGACGATAAAATGCCTCTCGAATTAATTCACAAGAACTACCCTTTGTTTATTCGATATTCCGGTATACACCCGATTCTTTATTCGACGGGAATGGCTATCGACGATTCTCGAGTCAGATCAGGCATTGACGTTTGCATGGCACACCGATGGGACCTCACACCGACATATCGAGGATCCTGGAACCTTGTACCGTCGAACCCTCGCGCGCGTGAAACCCTACACTGAAAAGTTTTCGGACACGTGGAACATGATACATCGATATGGAGCCCGTGGGACTCGACGCAGACGGTCGCGAATATACCAAACTCGATATAAACAATTCAGAACGCGCGGCGTAGGGTTTGACGCTCGCAACAATAGCCGAGACGCGAGGAATAGAGCTGTACACCCATGGGGCGCGACCTTTAGGACCAACGGGCCTGACCCAGAGGCGCCGCTGTCCAACTTTGATCTGCAATGTCCGCTACAACGGAACTGCTTTATCGCTGGACACCGGGTCTTTATGCAAATTCGAATGTTTTCTGATGTAGTTGGATGTATTGAGTATGTCTTGCGTGTTTAAAGATATATATTTGAATATGTTGATATATATATATATATATATATATATATTGTATATTGAAATAAATATATTAGAATATATTATGTTTAAAATACAATTAGAAAAATAGAACTACTCTGTAAAACGACTATTTTTAAGGAATATTATAGAAATCGCACTTTAGACATTTTATACATTTTTTACGTAAAGTAAGAAACAAAGCTATTTTATAGAAATATTTCACATATTGATGCAATCTACAAAACTTAATATTATATACACGACTTTGTAATTTGTTATATGAAGTCAAATGGTGACTGAAAGTTACCCTTCGCAATCGACAATATTTTTCATTATAAATATTTATTATTTTTTGTTGAAATATTGATAATACTGTTAGCAAGTAACATATAGGAAAATCTTACATAAAGTAAGGATTGGAACTAATTTATTTCTAAAGTTCTAGTGTTGATACCTAATACGAAATTGAATATTGAATTTCAGTCTTCATAATTTCGTTAATAATTTTTAAAAACAAATTACTGTACATATAAACATTACGTGGCTCAATGTCAACCTCAGAATATGCATAACAAGTTTACTCGCGGCGCTAAACCCCAGAAAATTCGGAGCACACTAAAACACCTAAAATCAAGAGGTGGACGTAATCTTTTGACAAGCAGCGTATAACGAGAGATTAAGATGAACACGTGTTGCACGCCGAGGTGCCATACGAAGATGAATAGAGTGTGTGTTTAGACAAACAGTAAAATCGAGTTTGTAGTTTCTGAGAAGAGTGTGAGGCAAGCTTCAACACATTTTTCCTCTATTAATATTTTAAAGTTTCGCGAGAGGCTTCTAGTAAAAGTTATTTAACACTAAACGTAGCGACACTTTGTATATACTTCCTGCCGTAACCAGTCAAATAATTAGTTATGAAACAAACGTAAATAAATTAGACGAGAAATCTTTCTCATTGGAAACAGAAACAAACGGACAGAGAAAAATTGAAAACCTGATTATGGGATAATATAGGAATTAATAAATAATAAGATTTTGATAATGGGCATCTGACTGGTAGTGGTACATTTAGCGTTAAATTGTTAAGTAAGTAATTAATCATAGAGAAGATTTTCTTCTCATAAATTAAATCATGAAATGTATTTTCTTCTTGAATAAGTATTTTTTACATGTTATAAATAAATAAATTCTACTGCATTTATTTAAATCTTTATTCCGAATAACAATATCTTCATTATTGAAAAAAACTCTTTCCATCGTGGAATACTGATAGTGTTCAATACACTTGTTTTCCTTCACAGCGAAAACATTTTGAAAAGCAATGCATATTAATGAGTTTAAGGGGTCAGTGATATTTAATGTAAATACATGCAGCGAGCGATCGTTTTAACAATTTGTCACGTATCAGATACATTATTGGCTTATCGGTGTATCCTAGTATCGTTCGTACTCGCCTGCTCCATTTGCATGAAACGCGTGTACCGTTCGTTGCAGGGAACCTGGCACTCTCGTCTGAGTGGTCAGATTCGAAGGCGCACGCCTGATTGGCCGAGGCATGAGACTGTCTCCGCCCCTATGACCTAATGAGTGCCAGGTTCCAAGCAACTGACTGTAGCTGCAAATGACGGCAATGGTTGACCTATATTTTTAGTGTTATAAGTACAAATATTATTAGTAATTTTATTCTGAAAGTATGAAATATCAACATTCGTCGGTAAAAGGTGAAAAATATGTTACACAAAATTTATTGCTATGATTGTTAAGTTATTAAAGATATGACAAAGTAGCATCTGTTACGTCGTGATCAGAGTTTCAAATTGAATTCGACAAATCTAAATGTTATTTACCTTTCTTCGAGTATAAATGAAATATTACTTGTTTATTATTAATATTTAATCTTTACAGTCAACTTAGATACGGAACAAGCATAAGATTCTGTTCTTTTTCTATTTAATTATCAGGGATAAAAGTAATTCTACGAAGCACGGTTGTAAACGAAATGAAAGGTAAAGGGGTTAAAAGAAGGAAAAGTGGTGAAGATGATAAAAATGAAATTTGCGAGGTTCAAGAGGATAGTACTATTACTATTCAGGCGGTTTGTAATTGGTTCAAAAGATTCAGAGGCAGGGATTTTAATCTCGAGGATGAAGATCGCGGCAGCCAGCCATACAGCGCAGATACGAATCTCATCAAGATCTTAGTCGATGAAAAGCCACGGTGCACACTATTCGTGAGATAGCATTTACTCCAAAGATTTCGTAAACAATGGCTCATAACCATCTCACAAAGCTCGATTACGCGAATCATTGTGAACTACGAGTTTCCCACCAGTTTAGGAAGGGCAACCTCTTTAACCGAGTTTGTATTTGCAATTTACTTCGCCAACGGTACGAGAACGGCCACTCTTCAGGAGGTTTTTATTTATCTTCATTTTCTGTTGTAATTTCAATTAGACGTACTTTATTCTTTGCATTTGTAGTTGTAATTTTAACTATATTCATCTTCATTTTCTATTGTAATTTCAATCAGGCGTACTTTATTTTTTATATTTGTAATTGTAATTTTCACTACACTTAGCTCCATTTTTTTTATACTTCAAATTAGACATATTCTATTTTATAGGATTATAATTATAATTTTAACTACAATCATCTTCATCTTTTACTACAATATAAATAAGTTACACTTAATTCCCAATATTCACAATCATAAATTTTCCATAATCATCTTCATTTTCAAAGATCCATATCTATACATAAAATGTTCCCCTGCTCTTAAAGAATTGATAAACAAAGTCAGACACTTGAAATTCTTCGATCATTGGGCTCAGCCATTAGCCGGTAACCAAAGTTTATAATCGATAATCGATAATACTCGAAGTAACATAAAAGATAAAAAGAATTTACAATGCAACCAATACTTTATATACTCAAATTGTAACAATTGTATTGAATTGCTACTATATTAATTATTATTAGTATACTGATTATTAATACACAAGCAATCGTGTCAAAGGTTGCAATGCAACCAGCACTTAATGTACTCAAATTGTAGTAGTATATTAATAGTAGTATACTTACAACTAGTACACGAGCAATCGTATAAAATCTTAGATTCTCCCGACTCGTAACGCAACAACTTTATTTTCACTGGGAAAATATTATCCAGCAGCTCGTGAGATTGCCAGTGGTTCATTGAAAAATCGATTTCGAAAACACTGCTCCGGGGTGAAAGTAGCAGCGAGATTACCCCGACAGTAGTGAAACGCAAAAGATAAAATGTCGGGACAGATTTTCGGCCGTTGAAAACCCACGGAAACTGACGGAATGACAGGTCATATCTCGTTCTACTTCTTATTGTCCTTAACGGGCTGCTCTGATTGCACGCTACTGGGGACAATATCACCGGCTCTCCATCACGATGCTACTCGTTACTGCCATATTTGCACCAATCACACAATGTGCCAATTCCCGGTACGTATAAACGGGTTGTGATCTAACAATTATTCACTGGGGGATACCTACATCCTATCAACGGAATTCAATGTTTTGGAAAACACGCGTCTCGCGCGAGATTCTACGAATATGTTTCTTTGATAGGATTCTTCGCCGAATTGTTTAATTAAACGATTTGTGAAATATTCTGGGTTCTTTAAATTTTGTCATGTATTTTTAGGAACGGAGGATTTACATTGATATCTAATAAATATAAATTCTTTATATATTTTTTTACGTATTTATATATTTGTAGGTTTATGTGTTTATATCATTTTTGCACTAAATAACTAAAATATTGTAGACTTTAAAAATCTTTTGATATACGTAGACCAACAGGGGAAATAGTGTTTTGTTTACATTGATATCTAATAAATATGAATTTTTTATATATATTTCTATATTTATATATTTGTGTGTTTATATAATTTTCAAATCAAATAATTTGCAAGATATTCTGGGTTTTTTAAATTAATATACCGCAAAATTCAAAAGACGTTGAATATTTTACAAGTCATTTGATTGAAGAATTATATAAATCTACAAATCCCTAAATACATAAGTATATACATAGATATGTATATAAAATATACATTTGTCGAATATCACAGTAAACAAAACATTTCCTCTCTCAGCCGGAAAATTCAATTTCGGCTGACCGTTCAAGCCGTCAACGTACAATGTTGTCACCAAAAAAATTGTTTGGTCAATCGTTTCTGGCCTACGCCATTGCTCCAACGACTTGACAGCCGATTCGTTAGTCGACCAACTTCAAAACACAAATTATACTACGCCGTTACACGTTATATCGTCAAAACGAATCCTGACACGAACGTAAAAATATTCTCGCTAGATTTTTAGTTTGCAGCATTAACTTTTTACAATTGCAAAACTTCGGTGGGAAGTTTCGAGCATTTGCAGAGTTTCTATTTTTTCACAATAAAATCAAGATTTTACGCAAACATATTTCCGTACAAATGAATATCTGACGCTGTAGTTTTTCGTTGAAATTCGTAATCCACGGGCGAAAATGTCTGAATGTTACTTTTCGAATAAATAGATAAGAGATCGTATAATAAAAAATGATTGCTACAATATCGTCGCTCGTTTGGAAAGTAAAAGTTATCTTCAGCTATATAAACTTTTTACTGGTAAACGTAACCTTGGCGATCGTATAATTTCTTAGTCATTACGAGGAGCACATTAAACAATTACATTACCAGTTACATACCTGAAGTCATGTCCAAGTTTTTACGAGGGAAAACGACGTCGGTTATTTTACGATTTTTTAATTCTCATAAAAGTTACATCACATGATTCATGTATTTACGTATAACGTTATCAATTTGATATAAAACTGTGCTTCGAGATATATATGTACTATGTATGCCTATGCATAATTGTAGTATTGTTTAGTATAAGGAGGACCATTTGCAGGTTATTGTCTACAATTTTCTATGTTATAGACCGTTGAGAACGTATTTTACTCTGTCACAAATATGTATACAACGTAACTTTGAAAATAGAAGGAAATGCACCGGAACTTTGATAACGAAAAAACACCATGCTACCATTAGATCTCAATCCTATTGAATTTTTCATTATAATTTTTGTAGTATTTTATGAATAATTAATATAAACTTATGATTTTATGATTTAAGTTAGGATGCATACTGTGATTAACATACTGTGATGATTTAGTAGTCATTGCTTACTGTCAGTTACAAGAATTTAGAGACACTTGCTAGACTTTGTGAACTAAAGATATTTTATATTGAAAATATCTCAAATGAAACGGATATTTTAAAATATTTTTATTTCACAAAGTCTATCAGGTGTCTAAATTCTGGTGACAGTAAGCAATGACTAATAAATGATCACAGTATGTGAACGACAGTATACGTCATAAATTAAATCATAAAATCATAAATTTCTGTCTATATTCGAAATCTATAAATCGTCTTCCCTTACTTGACTTCGTAAAAATGTCCATGGTAAATAAATATCAACAGTTGACAATGCGTGACTACGGTAAAATAAATTGAATCTTAATTAGAATTATTGATTATAGGAACAGCGGTACGAATAAATAAAAGAGTGTTACAATTTATATTTTCCCGTTGATTTATAGCAGCGACGCACGTTATGCTCCTTTTGCGTTCCGTTTAAAGTTATTCCGTGCATGAATCACGCACAGATCATCATATCGATCATAAGTGCGAACAATGGGGAAGACCAATGAATCGGGAAAATAAAAGTTTATCGCATGTGTGAACTTGCGCAGCAGGAAATTGGAAATGATGACACTGCTCGTTATTGTCGCTCGAGTGTCACGTGTATAACGGTTCTATTCTTGCTATGCGTTTCGGGACTCGGGGTTTTGATATGCGAAGAATAGGTTGAACGTGTTAACGGTGAACCATTATGGAAATTGGTATTGGGCAAAATTTCATTCGACGAAAATTCACGTCAACGGAGGAGAGAGAAAAATTCGGAATAAATTATTATTCGTCGTGGGAAAAATGATTTAATTTTGTTTTAATATTAATCGGAAGGAATGATTTCATTCTGTGTGAATATTAACCGAGAAAAAGGATTTAGTATTATGGTAATAGTAATCGGGAAAAATGATTTAGTCTTATGTTAATGTTAATTGAAGAAGTGATTTGATTTTGTATTAATATCAATCGAAAGAAGTGATTTAATCGTCTGTTAATACTTATCGAAAAATATCACTTAATCTTCTGTTAATGTTCATAAAAGTAGTTATTTAATTTTAAATTAATGTTAAACGGGAAAAATGATTCGTTCTTATGTTAATATTAATCTAGGAAAACGAATTAATTTTATATTAAAACTAATCGAATGAAATGATTTAAACTTATATTAGTATTAACCTGAAAAGTGATTTATTCATGTATTAATATTAATCGAGGAAATGTTTTGCTCTTATGTTAATATTAATCTAGAAAAAGGATTCAATTTTGTATCAACATTAATCGGAAAAATGATTTAATCTTATGTTAATATTAATTGAAATGAATGATTTAATCTTAGATTAACATTAATCGAAAGACAACGATTTAACCGTTAATCTCAACGGTTTGTTTATTAATCTTTTTATAGAGGCCTCCACAGTTCATTTGTCTGTAAATATTAAATCTGAAAGCTTGTTACTTTATGGCAAGTTAAGCATCGATGCACAACGAAATAATCTTTCCACCGGTGCGGAAGAAGGCATTGACGTATTGTATCGAAGAAATGCGCAACGACTCGGTGGATACTCATTCAAAATTATTCCCATTGTTATTCGAGTAAATAAAGAAGAATTATTCGAATAAATAGACAGAATAATTTCCCGGTAACAACAAATAATTCTCCACATAAAATGTATGGAAAATAAATACTTATCATGCCAATTATCTTACGAAACATAAATATTTATAAACACTTCCAGTAATATCCAACTCCTTAACAATTTCTACAAAATTCTAGTTCACTGTAAAACTCTGAGGATTCAATTCTTAAACTCGAAACTAGGTTACTATTCAAGCTTGATTCTAAAGAATTCGAAAATATTCCAAATAGAATCCTTGTAATTAATTTAAAACGATTAGTTCCAACCCTTTCCGCTCGGAAAGATAAATATAATATAAATATGCGAAGGATAAATATTTCTAAACATTTCGAGTAGTATACAACTCCCTCTAACGTAAATAAATACCTTGTATTAATTAAGTGGCACAATTATTTTATGTAATTTATTTATTATTATATATAAACTAAGTAACATAAATTACATAAAATATTTCTGTCACTTAATTAGTTTCTTTATCTTAGAGGGAGTTGGAAATTACTTAAAATGTTTAGAAATATTTATCTTCTGAATTTATTTAATTAAATTCTTTTTTCGAATTAAATTACATAATTTATATATTATATATATATACCATTTATAAATCGAACATAACAGCTTCAAATTCTTACGTCTCACGGACATGACTGTAAGCGAAGGGGTGAAAATTGAAACGTATTGTTGGAAAATTCTATAAACAGCGCAACCATTCGTAAATGAATAAAACAGAATCTGCTTTCTATGCAGCGTCCATCGTATGCATAAATGTTCGATGAATGGAATAAACAACGCTGGCGAAATCAATGTTTTTCGGGAAAAATATTGTTGCTTCAGATTGTAATTCTGATTTCGTCGTTGTCGAACGTTATCAATAGAATCGATACATTATTCTGTCATGCAGCAAATGTTCCATTTGTCAACTTCATAGTCAGACGCGGCTGGCGTCGGATGCGTGAGCCTGGAACCTGAAGATATCGATGAGAAGGACATCGAAACGATCCTCGAATGGCATAATATTTATCGTAACACCGTGGCCAGCGGATTCGAACAACGTGGAAATCCCGGGCCACAGCGACCTGCGAAATTCATGATGGAACTGGTGTGTACTCGACTTTCGTGCAGTTTGTGCGCGATCGATGTTTAATCCTAGAAAGCTTGACAATTCGAATCTGATCAGCGTGCTCGGCCGTATAATCAATTATTTCGAATGATTTTTGTTGGACAATAATATTGGAGTAATTGATCTAGTGAAGATTCACATATGTGTGTAGCGATGTTTATTTATTTATTCAACCCCCGAATGGTTGACAGTTGTAATCTAATCTAATCAAAATCAGGTGAAATAATGAATTATTCTGAATGATTTTTCATGGACAATAATGTCGGAGTAATTGATTTACTGAAGATAGACATACGTGTGTAAAGGAATTTCTTTATTAAACAACTCTTGAATGGTTGACAATTGTAATCTAATCAGGTGGAATAATGAATTATTCTGAATGATTTTTCTTGGACAATAATGTCGGAGCAATTGATTTACTGAAAATAGACATACGTGTGTAAAGGAATTTCTTTATTAATCAACGCTTGAATGGTTGGCAATTGTAATCTAATCAGGTGGAATAATGAATTATTCTGAATGATTTTTCTTGGACAATAATATCGGAGTAATTGATTTACTGAATACGTGTATAAATAATGGTGCACAACTGGAATTTAATCAAGAAGTGGAATAATCAATTATTTCTTATGGCTTCTATCGTAAAACAATATTGAACTAATTAATCTATCGAAGATCGACATACCAGAAAATTCTAAAATATCTACCAAACCACCATTCCACTTCAAACCATGCACCGTATACATCTAACAAATTTCGAAATAAATCACCCGATTAATACACAAGATACCCGAACCAATTCACAAGATTGAAATTCGTTAATATATCCATAATCTATTTTCAATATACGAGAGCTCCCAGGAAATTTCAAATAATTAGACACGTTTCATGTCGGAGTAAAAAGATGTCCCTTAATCATTCGCGTCCTACGAAATTTGACAGCAATATTTATTTCGACAGGTCTGGGATGAGGAACTCGCTCATATCGCCAGGCGCTGGGCGCTGCAGTGCAACCTCTTTGAGAAAGATCAGTGCCGAGACGTTGGCAAGTAACCCCCTTTGATACGTCCCATTTTTCACTTCCCTTATTTGTCCCCATCATTTTTCAATATCCCGTATATATATATACGGGCAAACGTTGGATTATTTCAGTAGGAACGCGGTACGTCAAAATGACTGATGCCTGCGTCCCTTTCTCACTGTCTTGTCAGTTCGTTTATCGTCCCCGTGTTCCTTTCCGGGTAACCACCGTTAACCGTAATAATCATTCGTAGTTTTCCTATTAACCCATTTGCATCAGAGCTCGAAATAGGTTACGAACTTCATACGTTTGAGACGTTTGACTGATGGTCAGCCCGTATCACCGTGCGACAGTACCTTGCTATTTCCAAGGAATATTAGGTAATCGTTGAAGCAAAAGATACTAGTATATATTTCTACTACAATGTTACTACTATCTTTTGTTTCAATTGTTACACGTGATTTCCAAGTAAAACTTCAGGTAATCGTTGAAGCTAAAGATAGTAGTATATATTTGAACTACAATATATACTACTATCTTCTGTTTCAATTATTACACATAGTTTCCAAGTAATAATTCATCAACCCTCCGCGAACGAACGAATTTCAGCAAAATGAAATGTTCATATTCGAAAGACTAAGTCGCAAACAAATGATTTAATCACTCGAACAGCAAGAGATCATCGCGTAGTTTCTTTTCTTTTCAATGATTTAAGCAACCGATGTACAATTTAGCTGCATCTGCTGGTTTTCTATATTTCAAAGAATCTTCGTCCGCAAGGGGTTGAAATGAATAATTAAAACAAATCTCCCGATGAATAATAAACTCCGTGGTTTCTTTATCCATGATAGTTGTCTCGTTCGAAAGCGAGCCGATATTCTCATAGAAAAATGGCCGTTTCTCCGAGCGTTCCGTCGATCTAGTTTTATGGTTGCCTCTCGGCATGAAACGAACGACCGATCTGACTGATGAATTTAATCGGTCTATGTATAAGGTAACATACGGACCGCCGCCATTGTGTGCCGAACGATCTATGTGTTCTTTGTAGAACGATTCGAGGTATGGCAGAACGTGCACCTGCTCGATATGAGCAGCGTGGGAAACAGCACGCGCGCCGCGAGACTTCACTTTCACATTCAATCATGGTACGACCAAGTGGAAGACTTCGATTCCGCGGAATTCGGGTAAGCCCCTGCTATATACACTTTCCTGCGAGCTTTAAAGCTGTACCATTCCCGCTCGGGTTCGTTATTTTTCCCGACTGCGCGGGGATTAGTTTAATGCCGGAGGTTCGCTGGGATCTTTCGTAGTCAAGGTACGAAGAGACTGCCGGCGACTAGAGCGGTTTATTTTATCAAACAGTATTACAGATGTATCAGCTTCGAATAATTACTTAGAAGCTTTCGATGTATGATATTATTTGCAGCGACGAAGTACTGTCGTCGCGTCAGAGGTGACTTACGACCCAAATTCAGATGATCGATGTTTTTTAATATGTAGTTGAATTGCTCAGAAGTTAATACGGTTAAGTAGGTTTTTGGATATTTTCTGATTTTTAGAAATTTTAATGGAATAAATAATATTGTTTTTAGTTATTCAAGGATTTACTCGTTTCTCACTTTTCGTTATTTTATATAACCCAACCAACAGAGGTGTACGTCGAATAGAATGCTCACAGGCGCAAGGTTTACTAAATACAGCCAAAACTTAAACCAGCTTTCCTTTCCAACATGTGTTTAAATAATGTGACACTTGATAAGCTACGAAGGTATATATTTACCTTAAACAAGTTAACAAAAGTCCATCTAAGAAATTTGATGGCAAATAATTAATAATTGTTCTGGCGCTTAATATATAAATTACGTGTAAACAGTACCGCGTAAATAGAGGAACGCCTTAAAAATACGTTCGAATAAATAAAAAGCAAATAAACGGAGTTTATTTACAAATTTCCATGAGTCACAGCGCTATTAATGTATGTCGGGTCAAGTGAACTCGAACAATGCGAGAGGGTTAATATACGCTCCGTGGAATTCCTTAGTAGAGAGGCTGAATACCTTTTGAATTTCTAAGACCTGCTCACACACGACTTTTATCAAGCTACGCGACCGTGGAAACTGTTTCTTCTCAACATTCTTCTAATGTTTAGAGCAACACCAAGCACTTAAATCGTCTTTGCAAAATTTCTTTATAAAAGCTGTAAAAATTTTTGTTTAGCTACTACCGAATCAGGTTCTTTAACACTAGACTTACGGAAATTCGCGTAATAAACGAATCTATTGTAGAATATTTCAAATGTACGTCAAGTTAATGCATGCTGACGAAATAATGTTCTAGAATGCGTGTCAGTGAGATGAAGTCAACTGAAATCTCAATAGACACACTCTTGGAGTTTCTATAAAAGAATTTCAAAATACCATTTATCTGCTCGGTAATAGATAAATGTCGTCCGTCTCATTAGAGAATATTGAGCATTTCCAGAGAAACATTCGGAAGTTTCTTACTAGCAATATTCAACATTTTTGACGAAGCGAAGACGATATTCTTTGAGACTAACTCGAAGAGAAATCGCCAGTAGATTGAGGAACAAAGCTATTTTACTCCAATATTTCACGTATCGAGACATTATACAAAGCTCAACATTAATCAAAGTTTAATTTAACAAAGTTTAACGCGAGAGTCTATAGTTTTACTGTATCCAATCAACTGGCGACTGAGAGTCACCTCCCGAGTGCAAAGGGTTGAGCAAGCTCAGCTGAAACGATACTTTCGACTGGGCAAAAAGTCGAAATAAATTTGAACAGTAGTGAGCTTTGTTCGGGAACCGTGGCGCGGTTGGGTCACGTACACCCGAATCGTGCGTTAGGATTACGTATTATCGAATGCCGACGGGCCCGCGTTCAATGACAGAAGCCCGCATAAGTTCGAGTCGTTGAATCGTAAGGTAATTTAAATTCGTTGAACCGTTCGTTAGCCGACTGCATACTCTGTAAGCATCGATTAACCCCTTAACGCTCAACCCAGTGACGCATACAGCCACGCCTGACTACATAACAGAATGCAAGCTCGTGAGAGAATCCTTTGGTTCCGAAGTGCCTTTTTCGAAATCATCTTCAGCGCTCTTTTTTTCGAGGCATTCAACGAACGCACATACTTGACCTTTCTATGTGCACTTTTTAACTCTCCGAGGCACTAGATTTACCGACATTTTGGTGTCTAACTCTATCGAGACGGGTTAATTTGACTGATGAGCGAAATCACGCGTTTCCTTTGAAGAACAACTTAAAAAACGATGTGATTATACACAATGACCTTATAAATGAAACTATCTATAGTGTGAGTGAAAGTCGGTACAAGTGGCGGAAGAAGAATGGGTGAAAATGATTTGAATTTGAGTCACTCAGAAGCCAATGCAGTTACGTCGATTTTTTTATATTTTCGGATTTTTCGAAATCTTCGTGGAACTAATAATATTTTCAGTTAATCAAAGATTTACTCATGTTTTCGTGTTTTCTAGCTTAGAAGGTCCTTCTTTTTATAGCTTCTGAACATGTTGTATAATCATTCCAGAAGCCAAAACGTTAATTTCCTGAATGTTCGTTTTTTGAACCTAACCGCATTGGCTTCTGAGCAACACAATTATTATACAACATACTCAGAAGCTATAAAAAGAATCGGTTTCTAAGGTTCATTTTCATTGGAAGTGGTATAATAAAAATATTGTTTATACGAATAAAATCTTCTCTTCCTCCTGCAATAAGTATAATTAAAAAGGCATCAGACAGCTAGTATATCCTCTCGGCGTGAAAGGATTCACCAAGTTATTTATAAGACCGCACAATACAGGGTTCAGTATAAAATAGTTCGTACACGTGTACGTACAGTACGTGTGTGTGTGTGTGTGGGTGTGTAAGTTCGTTGGGAAATCCACACATATTGTCATTCAGTGTAGCACGTAATGCCCTAAGTTGAATTGATCGAAACGACTCTTATGTGGCGAAGCTTTCACTTTGTGAATAGGACCGTTCGATCTACCGCGTGTAGACACTGCTAACTCGCCTTTGAATTTAAGGAAGGGTTTACCAATATCCCTTCCCGCTTTCCGGTAAGCTCTTTTCTTTTATACTTCCCTCTGCGCTTCCCTCTGTTCCATCTGCAGTGTGACAAGCGTGTGTCAACACAGAGATCCAAGGTACTCGAGGAAACAACTGAAGACTAGAACAGTCTTATTCAGTAGGCATCTTAGGCACACAGCCTAGGGATTACGATCGACGTTCAGAACCTGCGACAAGATGGCCGGGCCCGCGGAAACAATATGGCGCGCAATATGGCCGCCTCTGTACAGAACCTCAAAATTCAACTATTCGCTTAACGAACATTGGATGTTATCAATGTGTTGCTAAGTAGTTTTTGTTATACAAAATTTCTCTGTTTATCCCATTCGCTAGCTTTTCTTTCAGTAACAGACTTCATGGTTGCAATATTTTATGAAATAAAATATATCGTCTTTACGTACAAATAATATTCGAAACATGAAATCGCCGCGATTTCCTGTATATTATGCGCTACAATATCATATGAAAATGCATGTAAATGTAATTTACTCTTCTTTGCACAAATACGAAATATCGATTGTCATAAATGTGTGACACTGGTAGCGAACGTGTTATGTAACGTTGGAATCGAAATATCTATTATCATTGGAACAACTAAAGAAAATATAACCACCGTATGTTTAGGACTATAACTTACAACTTTTGTCTAAGCATCTTTTTCTATTATTCATACTTTTGATGTTATTGAGTTTTGTTTAGGTGACTTACAATCGTCATTTGGTCCGAAAGGCAAAAGCAACTAGTAATGAGTTATTGAAAAAAATTATTAAAGATGAGACAGTAAATATTCTTAGGAAAGCGTTGGGAAAAACTAGAAACGTAAAAAGACAAACACAATTATTTTTAGAGGAATTCGGCCATCCAAATAAGGAACAATCTCGGTAACTTTCATCTGAATAAGTCACAGCATTTAACAAAATATTATATTCACATTGTATTATATATAATCCCGAAGAAAGTTATCCTCCGCAAAACATATTAGCTTCCTTAAAACAAACACTTCCGTACTAAAACTTTCTTTCCATTCTCTCAAAAACAAGAGACACTCGATTCAAATTTTGCAGATATTACTATTTACCGTTACAAAAATGTCCCGCGCAGTACATTTGGCTTGCCATCCTCGCTGTAAGAATCTTTTCCGGTTAATGAAAAATGCATATTGACGTTCCAAGTCGCAGGAGAGTTCACAGAAACGTTATTGTCTGCCTTAAAACTTTGAAATCTTGGCAAAGGCGGCTAATTGGTTAAGAAGTTTAAAAGAATGGCAAATCTTCGGGCATCCTATCTTAGTCGTGATGCAATGAATAATAGATCACTTGAAAACTCGAATCATGATTTTACATTAAATAACAATAAATTCGTTTAATTAATGAAAGGGAGCTGCGAGGCTAAAGAAGTATCATGGCAGTAATCTCGGCGGTGTATGTATCTTTACTCTTCTTTGAACTCACCGAGAATCCAAAGCTATGTATGTGGTTAAAAGTTCGTTTGTGGGTTCGCTTCGTAGCGTGTGGTCGCCGGTAATTCTTGCGAGAAAATTGCCGGAATATTTTCCTGGTAGTAACTAGAAGTAGAGATACTTACGTGTTAGATTTTTCTTTGAGTCAGAGGTAATAGTCTGGCGAGGTGTGGGTGTATTGCGTTAATGAAACACTCGGTCGAATTTTTGGTTAACATGCTGACAACACATGAAATTCGAAGTATAGATTAATAAATAAATGTGATCTATTACATGACTTTCTTAATTCTTCTATTTAAATTAGGGTTTGTCTATATTTTGATTCTTAATTGATGAAATAGAATTGATTTTACGCAGCTACAAGTATTTTAGTATTGAAGTGGAAATTTGTTGAGTAAGTGTGATTTATTACGTATCTTTCCTAATTCTTCTATTGAAATGATCGTTTAGCAATATTTTGATTCCTAATTGATGCAACAGAATTGACTTTTAGCAGTTACCATTTATTTCACTGTGAAAGTTAGAACAGTTCCAGGAGGCACATTATAATTATTATTATATTAGGACTACTTAAAAATCTAAATTAGTTGTTTATATATACAGTCAATGC